AACGAACCATGTTGGAAATTCCATGCCTCATGATTTAAAAAAATACATCCTTCATGAAATGGTCATAAATTACTAAAAATTAATTTAAAGAAATGCTTAAATTTGTCTCATGCTTGTTATTTGTTGATTTATTACCCTTATCTCAAGGATTATAGTTGTGGCATCAGCTGATGTTGAGACTATACTTATGAATTATATTACAAAAAAAAATTAATTCATGCTGCATACAGGATTAGACCAAGGATCTCACTCACTCCAACAAGTTAATATTATCTAAACTTTTGCATCACAGATCATGCTGGATAATTCATGATTTGTGTTTAAAGTTACAGTTTACATACTGCTGGGCACAGGCCTTTTCTCATTTCTGATAGGGTTTAAGCACAAGGAAAGGTTGATTTGTGTATATAACGACGCCTGCACCGTGGCACGTACAGCGGTGTCTCTGTAGCTAGCCAGAGTTCTTGTAAACAACACGCGCGCCGCCCACCTTCGCGTTGCACCTTCAGTGGCGCCCGTGTGGCTACTCGTTTTGCTTATATAAAACGGACGGAACGGCCGCCGTTAAGGGAGTCTTGGCGTGGCACGGTGCGTTTGTTGTATTCCGCTACTAGCTCATCATCGACTCTTTGGATGGTTAATTTGTGGAAACGAATTAATTATTATTCTTAGCTATTAAACTATTATCAGTACAATTTATGGTTGTATTTCATAATTGTATGAAGTTAAATATTGTAAATTAATTCTATTTTTAAAAAAATGTCCCCCTGGGTTTCTTGCTGATTCTACCCAGGACAGAGGACATTCTCTGAACCAGTGGTCTAATATTATGTTGAACAAAAATTATTCTATTCTATTCTAAAAACCTTTTTCATTTAACCCCACATTCAATATATTGGACATCAGTATGTTGACATCACAAACACCCTATATCTTTATACCCGCATTCTATTTATCCTGTCTTAATCAGTTCCTATATTTAAGCATTAGCATCGTTAATACACCTCTTTACAAGTCCACTGCTGAACATAGGCCTCCCCCAAGGAATGCCACAATACACGGTCCTGAGCCACCCGCATCCATCGACCTCCTGCATGTTTAAGGTGTCACTCTAGTGGGTGCTGTACCGGTACGAGGCTGCCACTCGAGAACCTTTTTTCCACAACGGTTGTCGGTTCTTCGGGCTATTTGGCCGGCCCATTGCCACTTCAGCTTACTTATCAGTTAAGATACGTCGGTCAATCCGATTCTACTGCAGATATGCTCATTTCTGAGTCTATCACGCAGAGAAACTCCGAGCATAGCCCTCTTCATAGCTCGCTGAGCGACCTTGAGCGTCATCATACGGCCAGCAGTGAAGGACCACGTCTCAGATCCGTAAGTCATCACTGGCAACACGCACTGGTTGTACACTTTAGTTTTCAGAGATTGAGGTATACCTGACGAGAAGATGTGTCGTAATTTCCCGAACGCTGCCCAACCGAGTTGAATCCGTCGATTGACCTCTCGTTCGAAGTTGGACTTACCTAGTCGGACTATTTGTCCCAGGTAAACGTACTCTTCAACAACTTCGAGCATAGTACTCCCAACAACTACCGGCATAGGTGTGATATGGACATTAAACATGATCTTTGTTTTGTCCATGTTCATCTTAAGACCTATCCGTTGGGAGAAGCCATTGAGGTCTTTGAGCATAGTGCTAAGGTCCTCCAGCGATTCTGCCATAAGAACTATATCGTCGGCAAATCGAAGGTGAGTGATGTACTCGCCATTGATGTTAATACCGTATCCTTTCCAGTCCAGTAGCTTGAAAACGTCTTCCAACGCAGCGGTGAATAGTTTCGGGGATATAACATCAATCATAAGACAGGGGTCTTACACCTCTCTGCAGTTGGATAGGTTTCGAACACTGGTTCCGTACTCGGATAGCCATCGTAGCCCTACTGTACAAACACTTCAGCAAGTCAATATACCGACAGTCAACTTGACATCGCTGAAGGTACTGTAGCACCGCCCCAAATTCGACGGAATAAAAGACTTTCTCATAGTCCACATATGCCAGGCAAAGAGGTAGATTGAACTCTTCGGCCTTCTGTACAATCTCCCGCAGGTTATGTATGTGGTCTATGGTACTGATTCCTTTTCCGAAACCGGCATGTTCGGGAGGCTGGAAGTCGTCGAGTCTGCATGAGAGAAATTTCGTAATGACTCTCGAAAACAGCACGTAAACGCGGTTCAGAAGGGAAACCGGTCTGTAGTTCTTCAAGAGAGCGTTGTCGCCTTTCTTGAAGAATGAGACCACCGCACTTCTGCTCCACACCTCCGGAGTAGACGCACCATAGAGGAATTGAAGAGCCTCTGAAGGACTTTAAATACCGGTGTTCCACCCGCTTTCAGAAGCTCCGCTGTAATTTCAATCCCGCTGAGGTCCTGTCGTTTTTAAGTTGCTGAAGAGCCATTCCGATCTCCCTCAGACTTACGTCGGGGATATCATCGAAATATTGTCGGATACGACTTGCTCCTGGATCGTTACTTACACGTGCGTGTGGTCCCAACGATGATGTGTACAGCCACACATAGAATCTCTCAATCTCACTCAAAATCTCAGGTTTCTAATAACTATTAAGGTTAAAGTGTTAGTAGAAAAATAACAGTATTCTTTATACCTGTGGGAATGTATTTAAAAGAGTATATTCGTTTAATATTAATAAGTTACGTTGGATTTTTCCTCAAAGTCCATAGCTGGACATAGACCTCTCCTGTTGAAGGGATGATTAAAATTAATCGTCACTCTTGCTAGGTTGATTGATGATAGCAGCACCAGACGATTCCTACACGTAATGGTACTCTAGTCTACGGCATTTTACGTCTCGCTCAAAATTGATTCTGATACCGCCGTCTATCTGTAGTCATGCGATCATTCAGGAGGCATCTAGTACCACATTGAGCAGTGGCCCTCCTATACCTGCAACCGACTTCAAACAAAGATTGCCATAGTTGCGTTGTCACTTCTTGGGACTCTTAGTATGTACATTCTTGTGAAATGTATGTATGTAAACTGTCTCCACGATACAGTAGAGAAGATTTCAACTTTTAGGTTTAAGCTAGAATAATTCGTTACGCGTCAAAAGAGTATCCTGTTCTTGCCGATCACCGTACGAAACAGCAGCATCATGTTTCTGTTTTACGCTAGTATTCTGTGAGAGCGTAGACTCTCTCAAGTGGAACAATACTTTACGTACTGCAGTCAAAATACAGCGTCACTCTTTTACTTCTAATGAAATAAAGCATTTATTAAATAAGCCTTGCGCAGCTGGTCGCTAAAGTTCACTGATGGTTCTTTAAAGACAACGAGTTACGAATAGTAAGTAATAACTTAGATAAGAATTAACTTAGCAGTATGAAAGCAAAATTTAATGTTAATTTGTGATGTAAAAAAAGTTAAGCAAGCAATATGTTTGAAGGATTTAGCGAAATTATTTGAGATTAGAAAATTTTGCTTAGGAAATTTATGAGTTAAGTGAAAAATACGTTTCAGAATCTAAGTACTCCTTGTGTCATTTTAAATAATTTAAAAATCACATTATATGGGAAACGAGCTAACTACCGGCCAAACAAATGTCAACCAACAAAATAGGCTAAAGATGCGGTTGTCACCCCTGAACAGTAAGATGAAATGCCTTACAACCTTAACTGTACTGGGTCTTCTTAAATTCAAACTGGCAAATAAAAGTGTGCACAATACATCAATTCAGAGCTTGGTTCAACTCAGGACTTTATTAACAGGTGGAATTCTCTTAAGTGGAAAAAACCCTACCACTTAAAAAGCACAAGAAGTTCATAAAATGTATTAGCAAATCAATGTAATAACTTTAACATTTTGTTGTTAGAGCATAAATTGACCTTAAATAATTTATCAAATAAGCAAGTTTGAAATCATTTCTGTAAAAATATTCAAATACCAATTTCCTTTGATTATAAACTTCTTTTTCTGCCATGGATATAATCTACGCAACCTATTTTTCCCTCTAATTGCGACACTTTGTGACGTACATATCCTCCACCATAGATTTGTGGGCGGTGACCAGTGGGAGTACAATCAAACAGAAAAATACATTGTTCAAAAAAAAACTGTTTATATTTCAACAACTTATTTTTCTCTTTTCATTTTTAACGATATTCCATATTTATATTTCTTTAAGCATTTACCAAAATAAGAAATCTAACTATATCTTTTGTTATTTACGTGTTAGAGCCATACTGCAGCTATATTAGTAGTATAGTTATAGCACGAATGAGTCGGCTCGACCGGGTAGGACCACGCTCTCCCAGAATACCAGCGTGAAGTTGCAGTTTAATGCTGCTGTATTTTGTATGATTAGTGTGGAGAACCGGAGACCCTTTTTACTGGAAACGAGGCATTGCATCTTAGCAATTAGGGGTGACAACGCAACAGGGGCAACAGAAGTCTTTGGGCCCCAGTATCTACTTACCATCAAAATATTTTTGATCGCGGAAAAAATTCAAAAAGTGTCTCCTATTTCCGTTATAGACTTTGAAACCATTCAACCGAATTTGATGAAATTTTTGTGTGCGTTTGAATGGGTTCCTGGATGATTTATAGTCACATTTGGCCCCAATAGGTGGCATTGTTGTCGAGATCCAGAAATCACCTGAGCGAAGCCGGGGCGGATACGCAAAGGTATGAATAATAAATAAGTAAGTAAAGATATGAATAATTTAAAGGAAATTATTCGTATCTCTTTATTAGCTGCCTCCTTGATCTACCACAATATATATTGTGTTATATATATATATACTCGGAATCATTTAAAAACTTGATTATATACACGTGATAATTAAATGGTACCAACTTTTTTGGCTGGCTAATCCTTTCGAAAATCTCGTGTCGAATTCTCAGACACAGACACAGAAACTCTTAATATAAACAAGAAACTCTTAGAAAAGGTGTATCCTACCCTAACCTAACCTAAGTACTGATGATAAGTGATAGTTCAGTTTATGACATTGAAATCAATGCCATAAACAATTATTTAAAAACATACGTAAGATATTTTTCTCCGAGTGTACCATTGCACCACGCCCACGGAAAGCGTTGCAGTCGTAGTCAAGTAATTCAACAGCTGTCTTCATATACGGACTGCGAAGTGTAAGTTATTTTACAAATTTGTATTTACTATTTATTTTTATAAAACAAAATTATTCGAACACTAGCTGATCACCGCTTGCTAATAATGGACGATAATAACGTAGATTTAAAATATCGAGAATTCTTTATGGGACTATCGTAAAATCCGTTCCTACTGAGCGTCTAAATTGCAAAATGAGAAACTATACTAAAGTTCAAGTCAATTCGTTGTATAGATTTAGAGATATCGTGTTATAGATATATACAGATATTAAATAAACAAATTAATATAAGAAAGTAATCATTTATTTATAATAATGCATTCTCACATTTTATATATTGGTAGTAAAGTGGTGCCTAGCAAACGAGATTATTAAGACCAAAAAATATTTAAATTTGTTACCGTCATCGTTACAGCCCATCGAAAGTCCACTGCTGAACATAGGCCTCTTCCATTGATTGCCTTAAAAGAGGAGTGTATGTCATAGTTGCTACGCTTGACAGACAAGCTGGCAACATTTAAATCTGTATAATTTGATGAAATATTTATAAAAGGAATTAAAAGTAACGAAACATTTTTAATATATTGAAAAATATTCTTTAAACAATATTTTATTTTACTTTATGTATAGGATAGAATAAAAGTAAATTAAAGTTACAGCCTATATGCGTCTCACTGCTGGGCACAGGCCTCCCCTCATTTCTGAGAGGGTTTTTAGGGCAAGGAAGTGTCCGCCGCGCTACCCCAGTGCGTGTTGGCGAACTTCACATGTCTTCGAAATATTTTTTTTATCTTATTCCTCAGACATGCAGGTTTCCTCACGATGTTTTCTTTCACCGCCGAGCACGTGGTAAATCAGCACTTAACAATTTCATTGGTGCCGGCAGGGATCGAACCCGAATTACTCGCGTTCTGTTATATTTACGGCAAGCGTTAACCATCTGAGCTACCACGGCTCTATAGGATAGAAGAGAATAAAATAATTTATATACAACATTGATTACAAGTAATACTTATTGAAATTTTGTTTATGCTTTTACTACTATATTTTCCGTCCCAACATTTATATTCGTCTCCTCCACTATATTTGGTTTCGTTATCCATAAATGCGACATCCAGCCATTATTTTGTGCCTTCTTCGAAATTTGTTCCTGGTATCTGTATATTAAGGTTTTAATCCTATTAATTTAATTTATGCCTACCTCTTTTTCTTTATCTGCCATTAGAAATCAAATACACTGCTATAAACGAAAGAAAGATATGGTACGCTCGAACATAATATAATCTTTTAAAATAGCAGTTTAATGGTGCTGTGTTTCGTATTGTGAATGTAAAGAACCGGAGACCCTTTTTACTGGAAACGAGGCATTCCATCTTGGTCCGCAGGAGTGACAACGCATCTACATTTTAATTCTTTATCTAGGATAAATGTAGATGACTAATGAGTAGATTATAAGTTCAACCTCTTACCTTTATTTCCATTTTAATTCATTTATCAAACTTTCACTGCCATGTTCAGGCTTTCCCTAAGATTGCCTCATAGAGGAGATTTTGTCATATTTTCCATACTTGGCATGGGTTTGCAGGTCCATTTTATTAATATTTTAAACTGTTGCTAGAAAAATGTTGCTGTCTTACTCCTGTTTCATTAGCCTAGCGTTACCTCTTACGAAAGCTGACAGTTGAAGAAAGTGGGATAGATAAAAGACAGGATGGGAAATATGATGGGTAATATTGAAATTATACGTAATATATAAGTTTTCATAAACTTTAAGTCGCTTTTTTAAGAAAAAAAGTTAATGAGCACGGCGTTAGGTACAGTCAAGGATTTCTATTTGTTACGTAGGCATCAAATAAGGAAGGGTATTGGAAAACTCAAGCCCTATAAGGTTCAAAATGGGTTTTAGAGTTTGTATGTGTACCCATACAACAATCAACAATGTAACAATTGTCAACTGTTTTCAGTATATTCTTCAAGGTGCTGGAAATACCCTAAATAGGAATTTGAATATTATGGATAGTACATATTTTGAAATTTTACATAATGTGCCTTTATTTACCCCTTAAAAGGTGTATCGATAAAAATTGCTATCGATTTTTATTTGATTCTATGTTAGTCTAAGGCCTTTTGAATAGTGAAAATTGCTCTTACAAGCTTTCACTACATACTAATTGGTAAATTCATCCTTCTTCTTCAATAAATCGTTTTTATTACAGCTGTACGCTTGTGAAACTCCTTGCTACTTCGTAATGCCGTGCTCATTCCATTTTCTCATTCAAAAATCAACCAAAAGACTATTGGAACTCTAATATTACCAATTATATTTCCTGTCCTATCTTTCATCTCTCCCACTTCCTTTAACTATCATCATTTTGTATTACTTTTTTTAACTTAATAATTTACATTCGTTTACCTAGCTGTTTATTGTGAACAATACTGTCTGGAATAAGGATGTCTGAAAGGAATCGCTTCAAGAACAATAAGACTGTCTATTGTACTTTTTTATTTGTTTCATTTTGTCTTTTTAAATGTGTATTGGTGTATATTAAAGAATACACTGAAACAAATTACAATTGTTACATTGTTGCTTATTTTATAGAGTATACATACAAACTGAAACACCCTCTTAGGGTTTTAATTTTCCAAAATCCTTCCTTATTTGATGCCTACGTAATAAAAGGAACATACTGTTTCAATTACGCACTTCTACGTCCCAGCGCTTTGGGCTGTGCTGTATGTTTCATACAAAATTTCGCACGTACGTTTTAAAACGTAATTTTTTAAGTAATTTAAACGAAAAGGTAATTTTATGACAAAATAAGAAATTGATATTGCATTATTTTATTTCAATAGTTCTTGCAACAGCTTTAAAATAAAAGAGTAATTAATTATTATTATATTATATTTCAAGCGCAAGGGGTTGTTTCAAAAATATCCCAAAACACGTAATCATTTAATTTATTTACAGAGTACTTCAAGTAAATTCCGTGTCAATCGCCCCAAAAAATAAAATATTTCATACAAACTGTATTACCTTATTTTACTCACTTAGGGGTTGAAATTTCGAAAATCCTTTCTTACTGAGTGTCTGCATCATAAAAGACAGCTATTGTCCAAATTTCAAATGTCTACGTCTAGCGGTCGGGGCTGTGTAGATACGTGAGTTGGTCACTCAGGACATCTTCTTTTATATATTAATAATAATAATAACCCACAACAGATAAGCAAACAGAATATCTGGACCTAGCTCACGAGGTGACTGACGTTACGTGACGAAATTATTCCTGTAGTGGTTTCTGCAAACGAGCTAATCCCAGTAAGCCTCTCAGGTTATCTGAGACGGCTGGGACTCCGTGACGGACCGCTCCAGGCTCAAATGCAGAAGGCGGTGCTTCCCGATACCGCCCGCACCTTCCGCCGGTTTCTTTCCCTTTCCCCCTAACGCTCGGCTCTTTGGTCTCCCCTGCCGAGGGCCCCCCATCTGGTTGACCTTTTATTTATTTATGTATTATTTATTTACTTATGTTAGTATATGAAATATATATTTATGTATATTTATCGTTTCCTTTTATATATTTATTCAGCCCAACCAGATGAGAATACCCTATTAATACCCCATAATAATAATAATAATAATACGTAGAGGTGACGAACCCATAGCCCGCTGCAGTAACATTTAAGTGACAAAACTGCTACATGGGCGCAGTCAGTCAGCGCCCAGGCAAGAGGTATGAGTGCCGTTTCTCGGCAAAATTGAAGTACAATAGTCCGTTTATGCATATGGCTAAACCATGAAATGGTGCAATTTCATGGTTTATTGTATACATTAATATTACATGGTATACATTAAAGCACATAAATTGCATGATGGCACAACAAGAAGTGCGCATAGGGCTGCTGTAGGGAGGTCGCTGGGGCGCGTCTGGAGTTAGCGCTGGATGCGGCAGCATGCGGGTCATTAGCCAAACGCGAGACACAGCACGACTACCTCGTAGCCTTTCGCATCCATCATCCTCACTAGATGGCTTGGTGTCGGCAAGATCTGCTGAACTGGAGCCATCCATTACCGTCACCGAGCAAAGCCATGCAGACCTCAGCACATCATGCGCTCAAAAATATTTGAGGACTCCGAACTACTGCTGACAGCTACGGCTCGAACGCCTACGACACGAGTAGCCACACGTCGTAACCGTTCGACCCGTAGCCGTTCCCTCGTCATACGAAAAGAGACCGAGAAAAGAGTTGCAGAGCAACCCGCACATTTAGAGGGGTCGCAGATCTCCTTGTGGTGGACTCAAATGACGATGGAATAGTCGTCCAGAAACAATAGCAAATGAGGAACATATTGAAACAGGCGATTAGGGAAACACACAGTATGCTTCGAGCTGTCGTGAAGGCTCTAAATCCAATGCTGGTGACCTATTTGGAAGGAAACCGGAACCTTTGCGAAGCGGACTCAGTATGCGGTACTACTGGTCAAGATAACTGGCCAAGCTTTTTTAGTGTTTTAACCTTTGGTAGTGCTACTACACAAAGTAGCGCCATCCCAGCCCGAAGAAAAAGAATTGAAGACCATATCGAAAAGGCAAGAGCATCGCATCGGCAGACTGACTAGCAAGCTTCAGGTCAGGCAATAACAGGCCAAGAATTATACCGTCGTAATGGCGTTTACTGGAGCTTTGTCCCAGCCGGACATAGAATCGCTGCTCGGGGGAAGCGCATTCGGCTATATACCGAGAGGTTGACATATTTTAACTAGAATTTTATAATCCAGAGTGATCAGAAGACGCTCTGTAAATCATTTGAGCGACCAATGGTACGTGGAAAGGGCAAAGCAACGAATCTGGCCAACACTGACACCTTCCGTGGCCGCAGGCCGTGGTGCGGCCTGTGGTCAGAACCCGTAAGTCACAGCGAGAGCCCTTGAACGGAAGATGTGGTGCGCCAGTGGAATCAAAATAAGGACCCTTTCACAGCCTCTTGTCAGGCATGAAAAAGGCAGGGCCTATATATATATATATATATATATATATATATATATATATATAGGGTGTTTGTGCGTGAGTGAATACGCAACCTATTTAGAATTTTGATGATTTTGATCATAATGATATAATATTTACGACAGGCTTGAGCTGTCCTTCAATCTGTCCAAATTCTGTCCTTCGGTCATTTTATAAATACTGTTTTGGTTAATTATTATATAAAAGAGGATAATTATCACAGTAAGAACGATTTCACGATTTTAATTTAACTGTCACGTTTGACAGGCGAATCGGAAATGTACCAGAAGTATTGCACCCTTGACGGCTTTTGACTTCCGGTCGCCGGTCTGGGAATTTCAATTACGTTGTTAATTGAAATATCTTGCATTATTTATGCAAGATATTTCTTAAAGGGTTTCCTCTATTTCTTTCAATTTCCAAACACGACTTCAATAAAGATAATTGACAGCATTCAAAAGCATATAATATTATGTAAATAAAACCCTGTCGGATCTGAAATTGGTACATGGGCTACATAGTGATCTAATGACATTACCAAAAATATTAAAACATCATATCATTAATAAATGTAACAATGTTATTGTTATTATACTTTTTATGTGGAATTAGCTTTATTTTTTAGAATTTAACAAATGTTTGAAATCTGGCAACACCATTGTCGGTGATCACGCCGAATATATTGCCAACACAGGTTTCCCTATATAGCTTTTTTGTGAGGTACTTTTTTATTTATTCGCAGAAAAGGACCTAAATATGAGCAGAATAATTTCAAAATGATAAAAAGCGCCCACACGGATCAACAGGGGTTTTAACTTAATGAATAGGTTTTTATTTTACTTCTTCTTCTTTAAGTTCTACTCATTCGATTGGATCAACAGTAAATAAAACAATTTGTTACGGATTTTATTGTGTTTGATCTATTTATCTTTATATATCCCGACGTTTATATTGCTCTACACCAGTCTTGGTTACTGGAAGTTTCAAGTGTTCAACGTCCTGATATCATAGTTAATGAAGAAAGCCCCTTTAGCTTTTTAGTAATAAATAAAATGCGAGATATTTTTTTGTAATTTATTTAATCATTCATAATATTTTAAAGACTCACTCACTCGCCTTCTACACTATTGATATAAAGTTTTTTTAATCTATTTTAATAAACACGCGAAACGTCTTTGGTAGGATACAGAGTTGTTTTACAAGGTTATGTATAACATTAAATCTGTTATAGCATGGGTTATCATACATTCAGAACTTAAAGACAATCAATTAATTATCTTCCGTCAAAAAAAAAACCACGAAAAATTGAAGTACCTATGTGTTGGTTTATCCACATACTACCACAAATTTATTTTTAAAGTCAATAAAACATCCTACAAAGTATTTGTTTACAGTTCATTTCATTAATTAATTTATTATATATATTCAGGCTTATAGATATTATATATATATATATATATATATATATATATATATATATATATATATATATATATATATATATCTTATATATAAAATTCTCGTGTCACAATGTTAGTTACCTTACTCCTCCGAAACGGCTTTACTGATTTTACCAAACTTTATATTATGCATATTCAGTAGGTCTGAGAATCGGTTACTATCTATTTTTCATACCCCTAAGTGATAACGGTTGTACACCCTTTACATTTTTTTTTAATTTTTGGACATTTTTTTTGTTTTTCTTTTTTTTTATAATGTGGCATTAAAAATATATACAACCCTAAATTTTTACCCTTTTATCACCAACCCCTATTTTTAATAGCCATTTTAGTAATTTAATCATTTTTCATCCCGCTCGATAGCTGATCAATTATCGTCTAAATGTTTTTCACTCTATTTCGATTAAAAATTCCCTCAGCTTATGGCGTTTAAAATTTTTAATAAAATTATTCTCTACACTAGAAATGACCTAGAAATATTTTATATGGCAAAACAACGTTTGCCGGATCAGCTAGTATATATATATATATATATATATATATATATATATATATAATTTTAGTGTGTGTGTGTGTGTATATAAAATTAAAAGATTCCTTATTATCAATTCCATTTTAACTTTCTTCATTTTTCCTTTAATCAATTCTTAATGATTTCTAAATCATCATCTCTAATTCCATAACGATCGCAATTAAAGATGACGTAGTCAGGGGCGCTAGTTAACCTTATTGCAATAGTAATAGCCCCTGAGCGTGCGAACCGACCCACACATCAATCAACCTTTATGAATTATCTTCGTCTTCGCTGTTTTCATCGATTTCAGCTACTATCATAAGTAATGGCTAAATCAAATCTCTCTCTGCCTGAATTTATTTACAAAAATCCATTATTTATAAATATCCTGTATAAGAAGTTACAATCAACGTATTTCTAAAACACTTGGTGAATTAAATATCACCCTAAAAATATTTTGCAGCCATATTGTTTGTGACAAGAATGGGTCGGGTCGACCGGGAAAGTACCACGCTCTCACAGAATACCATCGTGAAATATCGAATAAGTACTAGAGTCTTTTTTTACTAGGAATGAGTCAATCCAACTTTAGTCATCAGGTGTGCAGCGCATCGGTATTTTGATTCGTAAACGAGAGTAGATTTAGATGTCTATGGGTCACAGTCATAGAATACTATAATACGTACAGAATAGAACGAGGGAGTGGGCGGAGCCCGTGTAGTCACTAAAATGCCACTAACACGTCAATTCACACGTATAAATGTCAACACAAGATGTGTTTTGACGTTACAATCATTTCCAAATTTTGCACGCAAATTATTTAGAAAATGCCAAATTGCACGCTATTTACAAATAAATATGTATTAAAATCCGTCTGTCAACACAGCGAATCTGGTTTGTAGTAGTGATTAACTGATAATACGACGTAATTGCTTGTATGTGTGCTCCCGGCGACGCCGAATCTCGTACAAAATAAGGTTGACAGCCATTCTATTGTGTAGTATAGTATTCTACGGTCACATTAACCACTTAGACTTAGTCAGGTAGACTGTGTGCATGTTTATTACTCTATCTTATGAAAAAAAAACACACAAAATTTTTATCAGTCAGTCGAGTCATTATCAAGTTTTAGCAAAACTAATGGACAGCAATTGTTTTTATATATATATATATATATATATAGGAGAGAGAGAGAGAGAGAGAGAGAGAGAGACTAGCGATCCACCCTGGCTTCGCACGTGTTTTTTCTAGAACTCAACAACAGTGCCATACCGGGTTCAATTGCAACAGGGATCCGTTCAAACACATAATAAAATTTTATCAAAAATCGGTTCAGCCATTTTCGAATTTTTGCGAGACTAACGGACAACGATTGATTTTTATGTAGAGAGGTTAAAATTGACGACTCCGTGGCGCAGTGGCTTAGCAATTAGTGGCTGCGCTGGGCGTCGCGGGTTCGAATCCCGCACGGAACAAATATTTGTGTGGCCTACAAATAGTTGTTCCGGGTCTGGATGTTTGTCCTTGTGCAATTTATGTTTGTAAACTGCCCCTACGATACAAGAGAAAATCTTAGTGCAGGGGTAATGGTAAAAAGAATTAACGAGTTAAAAGGTCAATTATTTATACAATTTTGTACTCAATACATATAAGCTGCCAATAAGTTACATTGAGCCCATTTTAGCAGAAACATTCAATTTCCTTTCCTGTCTCTATCTCTGGTTTTATTACCGGCCATCGGAAATAATAACTTAATATTAAGGGGTTTTTTATTTACTCAACATAAGGGGTCGATGGCTTCTGAATATACAAGGTTATATTTCAAATAATAACCAAATTTTAAACTTTAGTTCAAATATATAAATAATTATATACCGTTATTGCAGTTTTTAAATTTACGAGTTAATAAAGCTTCTACTTTTATTTGAAATTATCCCACATTGAGTGTGATTTATGTGCAACAACGTTTTTACCTACCGATCGACCCTTACGAATATGTGCGTATATACTCAGTATAAAATCAGTTAAAATAAATGCATTAGCACGCATTTTGAATTTAAAAGATAAAAAGGACAGAATGTTTAAGATTTTTTTTAAATTAATTACCGTTCACCATTTGCCTATATTACTTATTCTGAACCTTCTATGAAAATCTGGCTCTTTATTTCAAAATAGTCCTGTATTGAATTAAATTTTATTCTAACAGAGAACACAAAGATGCAAATACCGAAACACATGAAGATAGCGGCGGGTTCGACTGGCGCTGCGATTTTTGGTGTTCTCTTCGGATGGGTTATTTTTCCGACCCTCCTGAAAAGTCAACTAAAAAAAGTAAGTCTTTTTAGCCTATCTCCACACAAGACGAGATTGTCAAATGATGTTTTTTTTTAAATATATTTATATTATATTTCAGATATATCTAGAGTATATTTCGGAGTTGTCCAGATCCGATGATAATTGAAGTAGGTTTTGTATCGTTCTGTCTAATATTATTGTTCAGCCGGGTAAATCATCAAAGTTGATATAGGGATATAGGGAACGAAAGACGAAGGCAGGAAGACTTTGGAGCCTTTTTTATAGAATTAGGGTTACAAACGAGTACGCTCTCCACCTGATGGTATGTAGATGTTGTGGTCATATAAATCTACATTTCTCCTCGATTAAGAATCAAAACGCAGATGCGTTGTCAGCCCTGAGGACCAAGACGGAATGTCTCATTTTCAGTAAAAAGGGTCTTCCGTTCTCTACACTCACCTTACGAAACACAGTAGCACTGAGCTGCCATTTTACGCTGGTATTCTGTGAGAGCGTAGTCTTTCCCCGTCGAGCCGACCCATTCGTGCTGCAACCATTATATAGCCGCAGCGTGTCCCGACTACCTATGATTGATTGATTCCGCTCAATCGTTTTCAATACGAGCTATATTAAAGCTGCGTAAGTCTCTAAGATCTGCCTGTACGCTAGCATATCTTTTGAAGACTGCAATTTCCCGTCTTACCGTTATGATAATAAGAGTGTGATCGAAGAGTTTGAAGTGTAATAACGGCGTAAAAAAACCCACCTAGACATGTATCATCTCGTAGGTATCTTAAGAGGTTACTGTGAAAAATAAATCATGAGGTGGTTCAACAGTAACTTCCAGATAGCGACTAAATGATAAAAAAACTACGGTTGCCAACTTGCCCGTGACTGTGCAAATATAATAATATAATAATAATATTCCACAACTATCACACAACGCCATCTAGTCCCAAGCTAAGCAGAGCTTGTGTTATGGGTAATAGATAACTGATAAACATACTTATATATTTCTAAATATATAAATATTATAGATAAATTACACCCAGACACAGAATAAATGATCGTGCTCATCACACAAACATTTGTCCTGGGTGGGAATCGAACCCACGACCTCCGGCATAGCAGTCAATGTCACTAACCACTAGACCAACGGCCTGTCAAAAATATCCGGTATTAGGTAATCTATGGGAGAGGACTTTGTGCAGTATTGAACTTTGCTAGGCGGTAATGATGATGGTGATGAATAAAATTATTTGCGTGATATAATATCACGTTAAGTCGACATAGAATAAACTTTCCAAGAAAGACTGCGTATAAAACGTTATAAGCTATATTCATTACCTATACAAAACTGATTATGAAAAAAATACGACAAATTATCACCTGTTAAAAAGACACCGCGTATACTTGTGAAAAACAGCAGTTAAATATTTAACTTAAGCGCTCGCTCGTAATTTTAGATTCACATCGGTAATATTATGATATTACATCACTTAGTTAAGTAGGCACACGTGGCAGCTCGCGGCTAAACGCTTTCCGTGAACCTGGGCCCGATCGCCGTTGGCATCAATTAAATTGTTGCGGTGTGCGGCGGTGAAGGAAAATTTCTTGAGGAAACATACATGTCAGTGGGTTAAAATATTTCAAGGATAAAATATGAAGTACGTAACCAAATGGACGTAGCGTGACGAACTAATCGCTCCATAACCTTTTAAGAAATTGCGCTCCGTTTCGTTTGACGGCTCCGTAGCGCAGTTAACGTGGCGTGGCTAAACTATGGTTACGGCGCGAAAGAATCCCGCACCCCGTCTAGATGTTTGTCTGGAATTTATGTACGAATTACCTTTACTATTCAAGAGAAAATGTGGGGAGAACATTTTTAAAAATAAAGAAAGAAATGAGAGAAAACCTGTGTCCTGCATTAGGACGTATGTAGGCTATAAATTAAAAAAAGAAATGCTGAATGAGAGAAAACCTATGTCCCGCATTAGGACGTATGTAGGCTGTAAATATAAAAAATTCTGAATGAGAGAAAACCTGTGTCCCGCATTAGGACGTATGTAGGCTATAAATTAAAAAAGGATATGCTTGTGCACTTCGCACGATCGCTGTACTAAACGTTGCACACCTTTGATACTGTTACGAGCTTGAGGTTCGTGACAATAAAAACCATTATTGTCACGAACCTTTGAATTTCCAAAATATACACTTTTATTACCTAACATCAATTAAAACTTAAAACACTAATAATTAACCACACTGATTCACTTTATTTCGCTCCGAAGCTTCGCTTGTCTCGCCAAATTCAATACTGCCCCGATCGCGGCATGCAGCGGGTTTAAATACACTTTTACGCCGAAACATCCAGAATATTCCCGTAGATACGGGTGTCGACCGACCAGACGCAGAAAGTTCGAGTGTGAGGCTTCTAGAAAGCTTAGTTCTTCAATTCGATACTAGATGGCGCTGTTGGTTAAAAGATTAGTCATGTCATTTTCTGGAAAGCTCTCCTCGCTCTGTTACCCGACACTAGATGGCGCTAGTGCCAGACGTCAACTTAGGCGCGCAACAATACTACAGTCAATCGCCGGACTAGATATTTTACGCCTGGTGTAAACAATATTTCTGTGATTTCCCGTAGCCGACCTTTACAGCACCCACAGTACGAAACGGGGCTATGGATTATTTTATGTTACACTTGACTGCCTCGTTGTTCCAGTGGTCTCAAACGTAATTGCTGATCGTAAGGTCTCTGGTCGTATCGTTGTATGGGTTTGTAAGAGTAACGGTTGAAAGATGACGGTGTTTTAGAATATAGTAGAATAATTTTTATTCAAAATTGATACACATTACATACTTGTAATTCTTAATGGAAGTCAATTTTTACTTACCACTGGTTCGAAAAAAAATCTCTGTCCTGGTAAGAACCAACAAGTAACCCAGAGGAACTTTTTTTTAATAAATCTTACAATGTGAATGGTCACAAAATATTTACAAACTTTATTTTAGACACAACTTGAAAGCGACCACCTTATTCCCAGGGTTTATTATCAACCGTGTATTTATTTATATTATAATAACCCTTTTTATAGAGTTTTCGTTTATTTAAATATTTAAACTTGTTAATAGAAAGACCTTGTATAATTTCTGGGACTTTGTAGTAATAGCGTATACATTGCCCCAAGAATGAATTACTGAATCTATATAGTCGAGAAACTGCTATCACTAGCTAGTTCCTAGTGTTTACAGAGTGTATATCACTTTTTTTTACTAAAACTACCTTTTTTTGTGAACATACATTAATTTTTCGTTGATATACTGAGAGGCCAAAGTTAACACATTTATTCATTTAAATTTTTCTCTAAGAGACTTTCTAGGTTGTAGGTAGTAAATAGCTCTTATGGCCCTCTTCTGAAAAACAAAAATAGTTATTAACACCTGGGCCTCTGAAAACACACAAGGCCGTTGGTCCTGCACCTGATCTGTCTCCGGCAGTGTCGGATTATCGTCTCACGGGATTATGAGAGTAAAGGAATACTGTTGTACACTACCTGACCTTGGTAGAAAGGTCAGGTAGTGATGCTGTTCGTAAGCTGATTGAGGAAGATCGACATGTGACATACCGCGAAATTCAGGCAACTTTATATATTGGCATGAGTCAAATACAAATAATCTTGTATGAACAATTAGGTGTAAAAAAGTTGTTTTCCCGATGGATACCGAATTCGCTCTGTGAAGAGCAAAAAAGCGGCTCGCGTTACTTGGTGCGTCAGAACTCTTGAAAGATTCCACGCAGGATCCTCAAATGATGTATACAACATCGTATCAGGTGACGAATCCTGGATATACGCGTACGAACCCGAAACAAAAAACCAGTCACGAGTTTGGGTGTTCGAAAATGAGTTAAAGCCAACAAAAATTATTCGTTCACGGAGTGTTGCAAAAAAAAATGGTGGCCACGTTTGTCTCCAAAACCGGCCATGTTACGACTATTCCTCTTGAGGGTCAAAGAACGAAAGAGTTAATGCAGAATGGTATGCTAGCATTTGTTTGCCACAGGTCGTTTCTGAACTCCGTAAAGAGAACTGCAACCGCCGCATCATCCTCCATCACGACAATGCGAGTTCTTACACCGCACACAGAACAAAAGAGTTTTTAGAGCAAGAAAACATAGAATTATTAGACCATCCGCCGTACAGCCCCGACCTAAGCCCTAATGATTTCTATACTTTCCCTAAAATAAAGAATAAATTGCGTGGACAGAGATTTTCATCACCTGAAGAAGCTATGGACGCCTACAAAACGGCCATTTTGGAGACCCCAACTCCCGAATGGAATGGTTGCTTCAATTATTAGTTCCATCGTATGGAAAAATGTGTCAATTTTCGAGGAGAATACTTCGAAAAGCAATAAATACATTTTTAAACAGTAATGTTGTGTCACTTCCTTGATTCCCGAAATTTTCAGTGCCGCCCTCGTATTACATTGCTATAAAAATACACCACGTTGGTTCAAATTTGATTTATAACAAACCGGCCAAGTTCGGTTGGACTTCGCTCTATAATGGTTCCATTCATATATATTGATGTATATAATATTTTTCTTTATATTACGAATGTCTATAATTTTGGTCATTTGGTACGTTATTATATTATATTTATACTTTATACCATATAATAGGAACGTGGAAAATGGCTTTATTTGTCCACCTCAGGTAAAGCTTCTACGGGCTGCACGCACGCTACTAGCGAGAATAGATATTGTATCTCTTTCCGTAACTTTTTTTATTTTACAGATTAAAAATAAGTCGCATGGTTTTAAATCAGACTGTAAGGAGCGTGATCAAAAACTTAACCAGTGCTCTCTATGACCATTGAGTGAATCAGTAGCAGTAGCAGAGCACCGTGTTAGGTCGCTTGTTGCTCACAGCAGTGAACAATTTTCGCATTTGGTATTATACCATTTTTATGCATTTGGCATTTTACCATATTTGACATTGATGATAATTCGCTTTCGTTAAGGAACTGATACCAAGTGTCTCGTCAAAGTTCAAAACTAACGACTAAAATCTGACCTACATTTCTCGATCACTTTATTTGATTCATACTGATACAACCAAATCGTCGACTTGCGCTTCGTTTAGCTAAATCAATAACCACAGATTTAGTATAAATAACATTATACAGTTGTGTTATCGTGAAGGTATCCGTCTAATGTTTTATTCATAGGGGAATGCCACTTAAGACACGGGATGATATAGATGAATGTATTCAGCACGTTATTCACATATGAATTTCATGATGTCAAAGATTTAATTTATTTTATCGAGTTTAATATTTATGTTGCGTCATATGCCAATATTTTACATAGAACTAGCGACCCGCCCCGGCTACGCATGGGCGATTACTGTGTCTCGACAACAGCGCCACCTACCGGGTCCAATAGTGAATCTAAACCATTTAGGCACCCACTCAAATATACAAAAAATTTCATCAAAATCATATTTATTATTTCGTCACACTATTCGAAGATGTAGATGATAAACAACAACATATACAAGTTTAATAGGTAGTCCTTTCATTGTTCGGGCAATGACTCTCACGCTTTTACAGATATTTAAATATCGATTTGACAATCGATTTCAACTATCGATTACTTTCCTATCCCTACCTTACTTTGTTCTACTTTGACACCACATTCTTTTATTGTACGTGCAGTGAACCGTACGCGTCGGTTACAATAATAATGCCGAAACGAAGTGCCGAAGACCAAATTACTTTTTATATGAAAAATATTGAGAAATTACAAACTAAAGAAGACAAACGTCGTAGGCGAGCCTAATTGCGAAGAAAAATCTGGTAAGCTTACGTGCTTATCCAACTATTACAAACATTTAATGTAATTTACGTAAATAAAGTTCACCGTGAGTCAACCAAAAATGAATTATGGCCCGAGAGTTAACCGGTTGTAACTTCGAAACACATCTCGTGTTGACATTTATACGTGTGAATTGACATGTAAGTGATATTTTAGTGACTACATGGGCTCCGCTCACTCCCCCCGTTCTATTATATATGTATTATAGTATTCTATGGGCATAAACAAAGCTATTGTGGCGGCGCTGTCGTCGCGCCACAAGCGAAACACACCGAAGCCTAAATCGCGCTATCAAAATTCCGAATCATAAACAGTATATATAGAACATCTCCGAACTATCACATGGAGCGTAGGCCGCTCCCCGGGCAGAACACCTTGCCCGGCGGAGATCTCCCCTTTTCCTTCTACGGCCACACTATTACTATTTTGCTTACGAGCGATAACAAGGTGCAGGCTATAAAATGTTTGTCAGATGCATGTAGGATTTTATCCAATCTACACGCTTCAGAAACCCAATCTCGAATCAGGTCTTTAACACAAGGATTGGAGAAGACTTTTGCGAATGTAATTCAAGACGGAAAAAGATGAGATGCTTTTTTGGTAGTAACTTATGTAAAAAAATCAGAACATCCAAAGCTGCCGAGAAAAATGTTCTCAAATTAAAAAAAAACCGAATACAAAGGCTCCAGTTCCATCATCTTTTCCTCGACAAAACCACAGAGCCGATGAACAAAGGGGGACGAGGAAGCTCCAGGAAGAACACCTTAATGAATCAAAAAGCCCAGTCGTCACAGGGCAGCTTCAATCCAACAAGAACTTGGTACAGACCATTACGCGCAGGCCCTTGGACATAAAAGTACATGCCGGTTGATTAAAATATTTTTACAATTTTTGGTGGAATATAACTAATAATAGAATAGTTTTAAATTGCATTTGTGATGGTTACCCTATCTCGTTTAGTAAAAAAGTAAAAAAAATATTACGGACACTTGCCAAAGTTGTTTCATGATGGCTCACCGCCTGCAACTTTACTAGGCGAGGTTCAACCGCACATGGAATACTGTCCCCATCTCTAGCCTGGGGCTCTCCAGTTGTCAGCCGTCTCAGCCAGCTCCTTCCATTTGATAGCATCCAGTGCAGAGCTGTTCGAATCGTCGGCAACCGAACTCTTTCCGATCGGCTTGACTCACCGGCACTGCGAAGGGATGTTCCATCTCTTTGCGTATTTTATCGCATCTACCACGGGGAGTGCTCTGAGGAATTGTTCGGACTAATTCCAGCCGCACAATTTCACCATTGCACATCGCGACAAAACTCGCGATATCATCCCTACTTTCTAGATGACTGGCGGTCCACCACTGTGCGATTTACAAGAAGTTTTCTTCCTCGCACAACTTTCTTGTGGAATCGACTACCACCAGAGATTTTTCCGTACCGATACGACTTAGGGACCTTCAAGAAATGAGCCTATTCTTTTTTAAAAGGCCGGCAACGCATCTACAATCCCCCTGGTGTTGCAGCCGTTCATGGGCGACTGTAATCACTTACCAGGTGAGCCGTATGCTCGTTTGCACCCTCTCTTATAAAAAAATAAAATAAATAAGTGGTCACCAACAGAGAAAACAAAATTGTTTAAAGCTATCGAAAAATTTATTAATTTAGAGGCCATACCCGTTTGTGACCCATCCCAATTTCAATATATATCTAATATATTTCCAGTGCCTAAGCCTAATGGTGACTATTGTTTTATTTTAAATTTAAATTCATTAAATAAATTCGTAGAAACATAACATTTTAAAATGTAAGATTACAGAACGGTTACGTGTACGATAGTTCTATCATTTTTTACAAATCTTTTTAATCAGGGTGCGACATACGGCTCACTCAACAACCACGGGTTCCATTCCAAAGACCATCGTTTCCGGAATATATTAGTACCGGCATGTAGTACTTAACTACATAGCATAATGGAAACCTCATGACAAGATTTGATTGAAAAATTAACGAACAAAGTTACAATTATCTTGGCTTTATATACGGCACATAGGGCGCAGACATTATCCTTAATAAAAACAAGTAAATATTAAAATAAGTCCCAGTGTTATTAAAGTTGCCATTTACGATTTATTAAAAACTGTTGGTGCGGGGCGTGAACAGCACAGTTGGTGCTTCTTTATTTTAAGATTAAAATATAGACATATTCCCATCAACTGCTATCGAAGACTATATTTCCCGAATAGAACAATTTATAACTGGTAAGGTGGATAATTCATTACTAACGTTAATATAACATCTATATCTTTGAACAATGTGACGAAATAATAGTACATGATCAAACAAACTTCTAAGTGAAGTTCAATCAATACGAATGGCTCGGCTCGATCGGGGAAGAACCTCGCTCACGTAGAATACCAGCGTAAAATTGCAGCTTAATGCTGCTCGTTTTGTATCGTTAGTGTAGAGAACCGGATACCCTTTTAACTGGAAACGAGACATTCCATCGTAAACCTCAGCGGACAACGCATCTGTATTTTGATTCTTGAGTGATGACAACTGTTGATGTCTATGGGCCACAGTATCTATTTATTATCAGGGGACTATGTGCTCTCTTGACAGGCAATACAAAAAAATACAAAAAAAGGACGTTACTATACCCAAGACTTAAATGAATAGTGTGCAATAAGACTCAGAGTACGGCGTACATGACAAGCACACGTGCAAGCATTTCGGTCTCCTGAGTCGGATACTCAATTTGTATTGAAAACGCGCTGCTACGTTACAAGCTCCACCGACGCTATCCCCAAAGGCCTCAGTAATATTGGTCAGGTAGCATTTTGTGGCATCATAATTAATTCACGCTGATAAATTGCAGTTTACTGAATGGCGGTGGCTTACGACGTAATAGAAACATGCTGTCGTACATTATAGCCTATCAAAGTCTACTACTGAACATAGGTCTCCCTAAAGAATGCCTCATACAGGTGATATATATGACATAATACCATAAGCCACGCTTGGGGGGCGGGTTAGAAACTGCAGTTTTTTATTTTTTATTATAATATGTTTTTTATTATATATACACAACCGCCCATCTCCATGTTTGTTTGTTTCTGCAGCCCCTTACGTCAGCCATGGAACGATATACGAGTAGAGTAATGAATACTCTTTAACCGCTAGCAGACATTATTTAAAACTATCAACTTCCTACATACAAATTAATAATAAGATAAAAAGTGACTATTTTTATTGAATACGGAGTTATCAGGTGTGTCAACACATTTCCATTTCGATTCTTAGTCCAGATTAAATATAAATGTCTATGGACCATAGTATCCACGTACCATCAGGTGGACTGTGCATTTGTAACTCTTATTCAATAAATACTAAAATACAAAATTTTATCCTTTTTTTTTCTGTTTAGGAAATGTCGCTTTCGAAGAAAACGGACGTTCGACAGTTGTGGCAAAAGATCCCGTTTGGCTTAGACTTCAAGGTATATCTGTTCAACTATACTAACGCTGATGAAGTCCAGAAGGGGGCCATACCAATCGTCAAGGAAGTCGGACCTTATTACTTTGAGTAAGAAACATTATTTTCCTTACAGTTTTTTAATAAAATATGAAAATCTAAATAACGTTAAGTTCCTGTTTCCATATTTAAAATAACGTTCATTAATGCCGCCGGGATTTGTATGTAGAGAACCGGAGACCCCTTTTATTGATGATAATAATGATAATTTAATAATAAAGTGATTTCGCGGGTTGACCGCTATAATGACTATAATAGACCCAAATAGGACGATGGTAAGTAAAGGACTTATTTTAACAGCAGTCATAAGGCCGGTTTTGCATATAATACAATCTACATCAAATCATTCTCTATTAATTCCACGCAGTGGAACCTTAAAATATATATGATCAAAACAATATATAAAACAAATAAACATGTGTCAGCATCGATCTCTTGGCTCTCTGCCTACCCCAAAAAAAACTATAGTAGTGATGAATTTATGTCGTTTTCTTCAAATTTTTTTTTATTTCTTACGGTTTACAATAACATTACAAAGTTATAATGCAGCTTGTTTTAAATTTACTTATACTTAAAATTACATTTTATATGTAATTGAAATTTTTAATAATCGAAGTGCATTTTATTAGTTAGTTGACTGTTACTTGTTTACTTGCTAAGTCTACGTAGCTGTGATAGTTTTTCGTTTGGGACTTTAAAAGAACCAGGGGGGGGGGGGAGGGGAAGGGGGGGGTTAGGGGTTGTGGGTTGGTTCATTGTATATATACTACTATCGCGCATACTTTTCACATTTCCAAAAACAGGGATTTCGTTGGTAGATGGGAGGGGCGGGACTCCCCGCGGAGACGAACGGCTCTAATAAAAAAATACCACTTTAAAGCTACATATATAATATTTTGCAAACGGACCCTTGAATCAAAAAAAAATATTCCATACTTCCAATATTTATAAAAATTCTATTCACTTTGGAATAGATGGGTAAATAAAATCATCCTCCCTTTTCCTATATGGGAGGTAGACGAAATAAAAATGTTTTTCGAAATTTAATTTCACAGTTTTGAAGGCATTATTAATATCTATTACAATGCCAAATTACAGATTTGTAGAACTTAGGATCTCTGAGTAAAACCACGGACGGACGAACGGGCATGGCGAAACTATTAAAGGTTCCTCGTTGTTTAAATTCGGAACCCATAAAAACAACTAACAATCATTTCCAAACTTACGACAACTTAAAGTTCATTTCAGTGAATATACCACTCTCTGGCGAGAGGTTAATTCTTTTAAAATAGCAAACATTTGCAAGTATAGATTTTATCTAATTTTAAACTGCACGCCACGCACCCTTGTATATTTGGTAACATTTTTTACTTTTATCGTGTCAAATATGCCATAATAACATTTATTTAAATACAATAGAAAAGGCCAGCAGATTAAGATTTGATGATATTTTTTAGCCACACTTACATCCCAATAACACCCACTGCATGGGTTGAATGATAAAAAATGTCTATAGGCATTACGTCCATCTTTTGTTTTCTTTTTTTAGGGAATGGTGTATAGATCTAAAACAAAGTAAATGTGACAAAATGTAACAAAAATAAATGGGGCACCTTTCTTGGCTGCGCCTTTTTAAATTAGACGATCTATACTTCGATCATAATAAAATGGATCGTAAGCATGGGTTTTGTTTAAATCAATAATGGTAATGGGGAAACAAAACTTTTAATTTTTATTGGAACCAGACATCATTTTAATTTACGCTAACGCATATTATGAAGGTTAGCCGTATAGTAATCAAGTCTTATATAGTATTTTACAAGACATGTAGTTGAATTCTGTCACGTAAGTGTCATAAGAATCAATAATGGAACTAGAACGATTTAATGGCTTCCAAAAGAGTCTCCTTCGGTTCCCCGACATAACAGCCCCGGACAGAATAGCCCCGACAAAACAGCCCCGACAAAACAGCTCACCGACAAAACAGCCCCCGTCAAAACAGCCCCCGACAAAACAGCCCCCGACAAAACAGCCCCCGACAAAACAGCCCCCGACAAAACAGCCAAACAACAAACAGACAAAACATAAAAGTATAATAATGAATAAATAATTATAAAACTAAGTAAGTAATTTACGAAATATGATCGTTGTAGGTAGTATAATATTATTACTTTGCTAGTTGCATTGATAATCGTGCTTTTTATCTTCAGAGTATATTACATAATGAAAATATAATATAATAATAATTATTTCTGTGAATATATTGTGGAATTTTATATTCAGCTTTCAATTTAATTAACTTACCTATTATGAGTAGGTTCTAAGAAGGGGCGATTTCGTTTCGGCCGATTAGCAGATTTGAATAAATGTTATAATAACTTATAGTCCGTTCATCGCTTTAAGAAAGTAATTTGTGATGTGTTTACAATACCTATTGTACCTCTTGCGGCGATAATCCTCTTATTGCTATTGAACGAGCCTGGGTCATTTAGAAATACATGGGAAGTGTTAATAAATTACTTATTTTTAATTATTCTATAATTGCAGCACCAGGTAAGGGGATAATCCCCCGTAAAAGAAAAGTTAGTTTCTTAAACCGATGAACGGACTATACCTATTATGAGTAGGTTCCAAGAAGGGGGGGATAAAGTAATATATAAGAACATCGGGACACACAAAATAACTATAGTCTTGTAGAATTTTGTCTGGTGAAGATCATGGAACTTATTCAATCGCAGAAAGGCAAAGATTTACTGTTGAGCGATGGGTACCGGTATCGTAAGGCGAGAACTAATACCGATGGCAGTGTATCATGGAGATGCGCCGAGACACCTTGCCGAGGACGTGTCAAAGTGTCATTGGAAAATGTCGTGGTAAATGTGACTCGACACAGTCATGCTCCAGATCCAGCTAAAAATGAAGCAAAAAAAATCTGTGTCTAATATGAAAAGGCGAGCAGCGGACACCCTTGAGAAACCAAGGCAGTTGATTCAAGGATCGACAAGAGGGATAAATTTGGAAGCATCAGTCCATTTGCCATCGTACAATGCATCTCAGCGAACTGTTGAGCGTATTCGGCAAAGGCGTGAAGTGTCGTGCCCAAACCCAGGCTCTGTTGCCGATATTAATATTCCTGTTGCACTACAAGTCACTTCAAGAAATCTAAATTTCTTGTTATGGGATTCTGGACAGAATGATCTTCATCGCATCTTCATGTTTGGTACTAAAGAAAATTTTGAAGTTTTAGAGGAGCACCGGCACTGGCACGTAGATGGAACCTTTAAAGTAGCCCCACAATTATTTTTACAAGTATTTACCATTCATGAATTGGTAGATAACTGTTCTATTCCGTTGATTTACGTGCTTCTACAGGATAAACGAGAAGAAACATATGTTCGAGTGTTTCAAAAATTGATGGAGTTGAAACCCACTTTAAATCCAATAAACTGCTTATCCGACTTCGAGAAAGCGAACCAAAATGCACTTTGCCAGGTATTTCGTGGTGTTTAGGTGATGGGTTGTTTATTCCACTTAGGGCAGTGTTTATGGAGGAAAATCCAAGAGCTACATCTTGTAGAAGAATATCGCAATGACGAAAATGTGAGAATGCATTTGAAAATGTTACTAGCGTTATCTTTTGTCCAAGAGGGCGACGTAATCACTGCTTTTGAGGAGCTAACCGAAAGCTGTCCACGAGAAATTGATGCAGTCATCGATTACTGGGAAGATACTTATATAGGACGGCAAAGAAGAAATCGGAGAGCAGATCCAAAATTTCCTATTCATGTATGGAATGTTCATGATAGAGTGCACCAGGGCCTTCCGCGTACAAACAACTCTGTAGAAGGATGGCATCATGCTTTCCAACACACCGTTGACTGTCACCATCCATGTATTTTCAAATTAATAGACCACTTCAGGAAGGAACAAGACCGGGTAGAAATAGAGTTGGAACGTTTTCGAACCGGCTTCAGAAATCCCGAAGCTTCCAAAAAGAAGGATGTGCAACTTAATCGTCGATTGGTAACTCTTATGGGAAATTATAACAACGACGACCTTTTACCGTATCTCCGTGGAATTTCCAACAATCTGACATTATAAATTGATATATTATTATATAACTTCATTTATTTTTATTTTATAATATTTATTAATAATTGTAACCTTTGTAATTAATAACCTTTGACGAATATAGTTTATAGAATTTTGTTTGTAAATATACATTATAATATAATTTTATACCTACATTTATTTTTGTTTTTATTTCGTGTGTAGACGATGCAATAGTTTTGTTGAAAACAAAAAAATATAAAATGAACCAAAAAAAGTCACGTAAAGTATTAACATTCGTTTTACACCACTTACAATTTTTTTCAATAATTTCTTGCTAAAACTCACAATAGAAAAGTTTCCCATATATCGCCAACTGAAATAGATACACGGTATAAGTATAGTTATAAATTCTATAGATATGTATGGTATTTATTTTGACTTGGGCTGTTTTGTCGGGGGATGTTTTGACGGTGGCTGTTTTGTCGGTGGGCTATTTTGTCGGGGCTGTTTTGTCGGGGGCTGTTTTGTTGGGGCTGTTTTGACGGGGCATCGTCTGCTTCATCATCATTGCGTACAATTTTCCTCTTACCATAAGCTTCTCTCGTTGGATCTGTCTTAATCGTCACGCTCGATGAACAGGCTGACGATAATAGTACCAGACGTCACGCACCTTTAACGCTGGATTCCCTTGTGTTATGTTTCCTGTGGCCGGTCTGGGGAATTTTATGCCCGATGAAAAGAAGACGGTAATACAACCATTCATCGGAAGCCATAGATATTTCGAAGAAAACCTAACGATTCTCACTGGCAGCGATGAAATATGGATCTGAGACGTAGTCCTTTACTGCTGACCATATGAGGAAGCTAAACGTCGCTCTGCAAGCTATGGGGGTTACAGAATCAGAGTTGTGTCCGGAGTTTCTCTGTGCTATAGACTTAAAAATTATATTATAATGTACAGTATTGTTACGAACTTAGGGTTGGTGAAATTACCAAAGTTGACACTTTAATTACCGAACACCAGTTAAAACTTAAAACACACTAATAATCACACTTTACACTTTGGTTCCTATTTTTGCTACTTGATACTAGATTGCGCTAATAATCACCCACCATATACCGGGCATTAATTATGGAACGCAACAGTATTTATTATCATAGTAAAATATAGTATTTTTTATTTTCTAAAACCTGAAATTATTATACAGTCCTACTACGCCGGCTGCGTTTCCTCTCTGAATGGCTATACTTAGTTTTTGAACGAGAAAGAATCCACATCTCTTAACAACAACGGCGACTACTTTTCGCGGATACAGTTTCTTTAAGAACTTTACCGCACGTGGATTGGTCGGACTGGTAGTCTCTACAACAAATGGCAGAAATATGTAGATGTAGATCTCTCATACACTCATACTTGCGCCACTTACCCAGTTCAGTCGCTTCTTATACCGATTCGGCTCTAAACGAGGTATCCCTGAGATAATACTCATAGGCTCTCAAATTGTCTACGCACGTAGCGTCCCACAGAAGGGCCCCGAAGGGACCAGAGTCACACCGTCAGGTCTGCTGCAATCGTATACAAGCCCGTCCCGACTCTAATCTTTTTGAAGTAAAAATTTATTTAAAATCGTTTTGATTTGAAACCTGATGAAAAGAGAGACAAAATTATACATCTATAGGATTTAGCCCGCGAGAGAATGAGATAGAATATAGTATACAGTGTTTTTTATTGCCTTTTCTGAAGGAATCACTTCTACCGCGTGTGAACGGCACACGTGTTTATTTTTTATAAAACATATTTTATGTTATTTAACATAACATAAGATAAATACTCACGCCTGTATATGTAGATTAACGTAATGTTTGCCAACCCTAGGCAGAGATTGCGGAGTTCCATTCGCAACGATTCTGAAAAAGCCGAAAGAACAGACTCTGCTTTGCGACATGTGGTAACGGCATAAAATCTATCACGTTCTGTTTCGCTCCATGCGCGAAAATCTGAAGGAAACTAGGTTATTTATCGGTTCATAATAGTCCTCTTCAGGAGATATCTATCTATCGTCATATTGTTATAATCTAATTTAGGTTACATCTACGTAGTAAATAAATGTAGATAGCTATGGGTTACAGTGTCCACTCACCACCATCAGGTGGACTGTGTGTTCGTTTGTCGCTCCTATCCCATATAAAAAAGACAGTTGCAGAATCAATACCACCGGCAAACGTTTACAGCTTAGAGTAACATTTTTCTCATTTGTGACTTTGCACAAATTATGCTAAAGCCGCGTGGAAGTGGTCAGGTGCTGCTACGTGGTCATGATTTAAAAACACTGTTCAAATATTCAAGTCATTTCCTATTATTCCTTTTTACATTCCATTTCTTGATATTCATTCTTTTTTACGTCACTAATTACAGGTCCTTCTGAAGTCTTCAAACTGTCGTGTCATTATTTGTCCAAGGCATTTATTATCGTCCCACCTATCATTTGTTTTTAAACATTTCTGTGAATGCGGATGCTTTAAAGGAAAATTTAGCTTATAATTATTTGTAGTTTGAATCTTTTATTTTTTAATTTTCTAGTTTTTGTCTTGATTTGCAATTTAGGATTGCTAATCATGACAAAAACAAAAAGCAAGCACACAGGCTGCCTTATAATTGGTGGATACTGTGACTACATCTACATCTATTTCTTTATTCAAAATACTGCAAATTTTATGCATTATCATCAGTGTTTCCACAGATGGGAAGAAAAAGGGAAAAAAGCTCGAGAGGTGAGGTCGAGGGAAAATCATGGCTAAATTGTTATATGAACGGAGGATTCTACATTATAATATAAGTAGTTCGTCAGTTTTATTCATATTTAATCTCGCGCTTATTGCTTCACATGCCGTGATAGCTCTCCTTGATCTGCAGTAGCCGATTAACATCAGGTGGACTGTGAGTTGTTCTCTTGTCACTTAATTTTAATTAAAAAAAATTGATACCAAAATTGGCAGAATTTTACTCCATAATTTTTGAGGCGAAATAAGACATAAAAGGGGAAAACTCAGACGTCACACACCTTTGACACTACTTCACGCCCTCAGTATGGGAATATTTCTACTTGGAGTAAATGTAATTTTTATAGCGCCATCTATCGGAAGTCAAAAATACTTTTGTAAACATTTAACAGAAAAATGATACCAAAAGCAGTGCGTTTTTTAATTTAAAAACTTATTCTTATTAAAATATATCTTTCGTATTGTATCACGCCTAATGTGAATGCAATGTTATAGGTATTTATTTAAATTAATAGTAACTTTATTGATTTAAATTAGTAGTAGTTAACTTATTTGCTTGATGTCAATTTAATAGACTACTCCATGCTGCAGTTGCTTAGAGCTTAGGCATTGAGTTATGGCTCGAGAGGTGCGATTTCCGCATGGAACAAGTATTCGTATAACCTACATATATACAATAATTGTGGATGTTTGTCCTTGTTCAATTTATATATGAAAACTGAAACGATACAGGAAAAGTCCCAGTGTGGGCGTTTCGTTTTTAAATAGCTGTAAAATAAACAGAATTATCTGTTACAATTTTATTTCATGCGGAAGTGTATTCTATTATAGAAATATGTATGGGTGGGCAGCCATTTCATTTATAGCTCCGTATATCTGTTATAGCCTTAAAAATGGTATTGAAACGAGCTTATACGCCCCGCAAATAAACAAAAAAGTGTACAGTAATATTCGTGACTAGATGTGTGAATCTGTGCATCATCCTTATTGTACGTAGTACGTATAGTAAGAATAAGTAATGGTGACACGTAATGGAGCCACTGAAGTGGAGTTGAGTGGAGTGAGGCGGGAAGGACTATGCTCATACAGAATACCAGCGTGAAATAGCAGCTAAATGCTTTTGTGTTTCGCTTGGCGAGTGTAGAAAACTAAGAGCCATAGCATTCACTTACCATACCACTTACAGGTGGAATGTGCATTTGTCATCCTTATTCTATATAAAATTATATTATAAATGGGAAAGTAAATTTCCCTTTCAGTTACGTTTTCATAGCTACACCACTGAAATTATTTTGATAAAAAGAAGAAAGCTTTATCTATAGGAAAGAACATAGGCGAATTCAACCATAAGTAGGTATAATAAGGGATGAAGATTTTTATGCAAATCCATTTTTGAAGTTGGAAATAAAAACTGGTATATAGGGTTCCGAAAAGAGATAACAAAAAATGATTATTGGCTTTTTTTAAATATTCCATTCCTATGGAATATAATATGAAGTAAACTAGTATTTGCCCCTTCAGTGTTTCGTATTATTTTGAAGATAATGATTGAAATTGGTACATATATTGGAGATGCAAAACAATTTATCTTGCTATGACTTTTACGAGTTGAATTCTTTTACACAAAACTATACAGGGTTATTTTTCAAAGTATAATTTTTTTAATTATCCCAAAT